GTTATTATTATTACTAATATCATTATTATCATTATTACAACTACAGTTATTGTTATTATAACTTGTGTGCACATGCGCATAACACATTATCTTCTCTCAGATTTCTCTCTCATGTTAGCATCTTTCCTTTGTAACAGTTGTGTCTTTTGTTTTTGTTATCAAAGAGAATCTTATCGCCTTAGTGCCATTCCTCACGGTAAACAGACTGGAGTTGATCTACAGCCTTCTCATTTTAGCTCTTTTATTAGTTGGTATTACCAACAACTTTGGCAATACCACAGTATAGTGTAAAGCTAGTCCAGGGGCGGATCTAGAGTTTAGATACTGGGTGGGCAAAAATAATAAGGAGGTGTGGTTAATAAATTTAATTAATTAGTTTTAAGGTGTGGTCAATTAAGTAACAAGTAATAACAGATAATTAGTCAACTTAGTCAAGACAAAACAATACGCCTATTTATGTCAGCAGAGCCAAACTCATTAATTATCAGTTCGTAATCTAAACTCTCTGCTATCTCCCTCTCTATTGACAAAGTTGCTAAAGCTGATAAACGGTCTTCTGCCATCCTACTTCTTAGACAGGTCTTAATGCGTTTTAGAGCTGAGAAGGAACGTTCACTTTCCACACTAGTGACTGCTATTGTTAAAGCTATTTGTGCTAACTCATGTAGGGTGTGGTATGCAGGTTTGCAAGAATAAAGGTAGTTTCTAAATGATGCTAGACTATCTCCAATCGTGCCTTTGGGCAGAGCCTTTATCAGTCTAACTTCAATCTCCAGATTTGGTTCTGTGGGAATGTTATATATCTCTGAGAAGGACTTGAGGTCTTGTAATGATAAAAAATTTGATGCTGCTGGAGTACATGAAGCTATTCCTCTCATAATAGTGACATTTTGGTCTTGAAACCTACGATTCAGCTCGAAAAGGAATTTGTCTAGTACAGGAAAGTATAGCTCTCTCTTATACTCATCTCTGGTAGATGGAATCACCCTCACCCCAGTACTCTCATATACAAAGCTGTCGATCAAGTGAGTAGGTCTCCTTCTTACTTGCACTTCAGTGTTTACATCATGCAATTTGGCTACTTCTGTTGCATAATGATACACTTTCTCCCAATAGGTATCTGTTCAATATTCTGACAGCAAAGCCTGTGTACCAGATACAAGGTCAGCAGCACGAGAAAGATCTATTTTATTGCTTTGTAGCTGATCAGAAAGCTGCTTAGTACATGATAGTATTCGATCAAATGTAATCAGGCTAATGATAAAGGAAAATGATTTGATTTGATCATATAGACCCCTAGCTTCAATAGCCTGGGTGTATTCACTGACAGATGCATCAGCTACTACACCTACAGTAAGAAGAAGTGCATTGTATGTACGACTGACTGCGTTAACAGCAGCGTATCTGCAAACCCAACGAGTCTCTGAGAGTTTTTGAACTCCAATGGTTGCTGATTTGGGTTACACTGACGTTGTAATTTGACAAATAGGGCATGGATTTTAGAAGAAGACACTAAGACGTAGAGTGCTTCTAACAAAACAAAGAACTCAGAAGCTGTTGCTACAGACCTTACAGAATCAACCAGTACAAGGTTTAACACATGGGCGTAGCAGTGAATGTAAACTGCTAAAGGAGCAAACTCACGGACTCTTGTCTGTACTCCTGAACAGTGGCCACTCATTATGCTAGCCCCATCATATCCTTGGCTAACCATCTTATTTATATCAAAATCATAAGTAATGAGAGCCTGTTTTATGTAAGAAGATAAGCTTTCAGCATCTTGATGCTCTGCTTGCATGAATGCTATGAAATGTTCATGGACACATCCTTCTTCAATATCAACGTAACGAACTGCTAGAGACATCTGTTCCTGCTTGGATGAATCTCGGGATTCATCTACTATTATACTGTAGAAACCGGCTTCCTTTACAGCTTGGCAGATTTTGTGTAGCACTTTTTTAGCCAGTAGTGCAAGTAACTCATCCTGGATACCATGTGATGTATAAATTGCATTTTTTGGTCCATCATGAATTTTATTTTTTACTACTGAATCATGTCTACTGACTAAATCAATCAATTTCAAGAAGTTACCTCTATTTTGTGAATCTTCTCCTTCCCTGTGTCCTCTCAGTGCTATTTCTTGAAAGGCACAATATAGTAAAATTTGAACTATAGTCATCAAATAATGCCTGTTATTCTGGATTTGATCCTTCCATGCCTGACTTAGTGTTGATCTGATGGAGTGTTGAGACTGCTGATTATTCTCAAAATCAGCCCAAGCAGCAGCAGCATTAAGATGCCTTTGTGACAGTGAGTGCTTTACCAATCGACCAGTTCGTCCTGTGGCATTCTTCCAATTTCTATATCCAATACTAATGAAGCACTCATCAGACTTGTGAATACCAGCAGAAAAGAAACGGCATGGGTAGCAATAGGCAGCATCTTTAGATACTGAGTATTCTAACCATGCATGCTTTTGATACCGCATTGAACTAAATGAACGACCATTTTCCTTATTCTTGGGAAAAGTTATATTATGTGGCTGTACTGGCTTGTCTTCTAAACCTTTTGCTATGTCACGAGGGGTACCATTAGCCACATGTCTACTTGAACAACCCTCATTGTTGTTGCTACCAAACTCAGGCTCCATATCTATTGGCTCATTTGGCTCAGACTCTGTTACTACTGCCATGGGGTCAGGCTCAGTCTCTCTGGGACTAGATTGAGTATGGGTCGCTAGATCTGTCTGGGACTCAGTTTCACTGGGTTCCACAGTGACAGTAGAGCTCTGCTCTTTGCCAGTACCTATAGTTTATATCAATTACATTTATTTATTCAATCAATGCTATCTTGAGTGTCTTAATTATTACCTTTAGGTCTACTTGCACTGCACTGAAACAGAGTAAGCTGTTGTAACAGACGCTCCAACTATCTGTTAACCAAACTTTATTCTTAATCAACACGAAACTCACAACTAACTCAACTAACACAACAAACTAAAACTCACAAACAACACACTTATATACAGTAGATCTTATAAACGTCCAGAAGGTTCTATAACATACAAGAATACTTTACATGATTGTTCTAGAATATACTTGAATAAACACATAATATATAATTACAATAGTACACAGAGAGTTCCGGATCCATTTAGAAACAACTTCTTACATTTCCTCCCTTCCCCTCTGGCACGAAGTGCTCTTCCTCTCCAATCTAGAAAGTGCATCTGCATTTGCATTTGCTACCCCTTTCCGATGTTGTATAGTGAAATTATATGGTTGCAGAATCAAACTCCATCTAGTCAATCTTGCATTCTTCTCTTTAAACTTGTGTAGCCA